TTGCCTTCCAAAAATCCTTCTCAGACGTTTTACTAATAAATTTGTTAAAGACCTTTTCCATCAACACTTGCCGCCGCCCAGCAATGCTTTTCTTTTGACTTCATCAACGGCTATCTAATTCGCATTTATTCAATCGAAATGATGAAGCCAATAAAAGAAATCGAATCGGCAGGCAATCCAACCGGAAACTTGGATAAGTTAAATCAACACACAAACACACACAAATTTACCAACTAAATTAAGGGACTTTAAAGCGTGGGCGAGGGGTGAGTTCTCCCCAAGGAGGCACCGGCACGGCACGGCACAGCACCCCTTTCGTATCATCTTGGACGATTTGCATACATAAATAAATCAGTCTCCGATCAGAAACATATTCATAGTGCGCGCACACACACACACACACACAGAGGGAGAGAGAGCGAGAGAGAGAGAGATTCGATTATATGTACAACAAAACGATTTTCCACTTGACATAAGCTGAAGTGGCCAACAAACCAACCCCCTACCCAGTCTCTGGCCAAAAAGGAAATTCAATCTGTTCATTCCATTTAAACAATTTTCAAAAAAAAAACAAAAAAAAAAAAAACTTGTTTATAACTCAATTTTAGCACACAAGAAAAGAAAGTAAAACGAAATAACACTTAAATAAATAAACACAGAAAGTGCTTCACGACCCAATGCCAAAGTTTTGAAAATGAACAATTCCATTTCTGTGATTGTGATTGTGAATACGAGTGTGTGTTTGATTCTGAATATGAATGTGAATGCGAATGCGAATGGATATATGGTGTGGAATATGTGTGTGTTGTATGTGCGGCGGAATGGCTCTGGTGCAAGAGTGGCTCTTGTCTGAGTTCTGGTTCACACGCATGTAATACACAATAATGGAACTTTTTGGTATTGTTGCAGCAGCTCTTAACATGCCACGCAAAGAATCCTCCAAAAGCGAAATGGATATATTCACATGTGTGTATGTTCTCTCTGTTCCCTCTGTTTTGTTTGCCAAAGGATTGCAGCATTGAAATTGCCAAATGGTATTTCGCGATTCTATCGGAATGTTGGCGTGTGGATTTTCCGGATTGGAGTACTCTTGTTGAGTGCTCAAAATGTTTTTTATGGATGTTATCTACCCACAGAGCATAGTTAGCACACACATGTACAGAGTAATGGAATCAAACAAGCAACAACTCAACTCAATCTCCAGCGCTGACTCATCTGCAAATGTTTTCCGCTTTTGTTTCACTAAAAAACTATGGGATTGACCTGCCTAAAAAAGCTGAAGGCTCTAATTAAATTATTACGATAATTATTAAATGCCATTTTCAGCATTTTGCCATCTTCAACCCCAAAAAACGCCAGCAAAAGAAATTCCCTTTAAAATTGAAAAAGGCCACAAAAACACACACACACAATCAGAATTGCCCTCTTTCGCTTTCAATCAATCGTATTCGTATTCATGCTCGTATCTGTTATTGACATTTTATGCATGACATTCTTTTGCTTGTGGTGGCGGTGGTGGCATGCCCCATCATCATTGCTGCCGCGCTGAAAGGTCCCTTGTCAAGTGAGCAGCGGCGCTTGCAGAAAAAGTTTGCCTGAAAATGACGCAAGTTGTCAACGTGAATTAAAATAATTGATTTATTTTAACGCAAGTTAAGCGAATAAACAAACGGCGAAAGAGCCAAAAGAGGTCCGGTAGAAAAAAAGGGAAAACCCCGCAAAAAAAAGGGCAACCGCACTTGAAGTTGTCAGCGGCAGAAAACAAGTTCTCATTTTATATTTTCCATTCAAAAGAAAATATATATTTAAACACAAGAAAAAAGGGAAAGTGAAAATGTGCCATTGATGGCGTTATTAGCCAATTATTAAAGGGGTTTTTCCCCAAGGGTAATTTCCCGGTGCTCTTCTCTTATCATTTTACAGCTGGTCCACAATGTCGTGTAAATTGTCAAAAATTATTAATTGCCATTGTTATTACTTGACTTGGCCGTATCCCAAGGCGGGTTTTGGGTCAATCGTACTCCTCCTGCCACTGCCACTGCCACTGCTCCTGATCCTGTTTCAGTTCCCTTTTCATTCTCCCACCACTTTAATTAGCCAATAAATGCCGCTGCGAATGAGTATTAATGCCGCTTGTTAACTGTTGGCGATTTGTTATCGTTAACAACAAGTATTCGGGCTCTTCTTCTCAGAGTTTTCTTTATACATATATTTGCCATGGGGTTTTTCAGGCCTGCCCTAGAGGGACCCTCTGGCATTTTACTCACTTCTGGGTTAATCGCTTTGTTGCCTGCTGGCTCCACAAATATTTTACTCGCTCTTTTATTAGTCGTCATTAATATTTTTATTGGATTTGCTTGGCAACTTACGGCTGCGGTTCGTTAATAAAGTTATAAATGTGGGGAAAAATGCAGGGGAATATTTTCTAAGCCTGATTTGTATTCAATTTAGAGCAGCTTTTACAGGGAAATTAGTTAGAATTCTTATGTGAATTGCTTCTGCTGATTAAGAGTTCCGCAACACTATCAGGCATTGCCCAACACTGCATTCCACTTTTTCGTTCAATGGCTCTCTGCAAGCTCCATTCAAGTGAATGCCTCCCCTTCCCAACCACTGATAAGAGTGGATATCTACCCTCTGGCTGGTGCATTGTTCTCTTGGTTGGTGCAGGTTCCGGACTTGCTTGCCACAATTTATGCATTTTCCATGGCATTAACGTTGAAAGGCGTCGCAAATGAAATGCCATTCAAAATGCTTTCTCTGTTCCTCTGTCTCGCCTGCCGTTGTCTGGTTAGTTGCTTACCTGGTTAGCTGTAGCTGTAGCTATATCTCCACTCCGCAATAACCTCTTGCCCCACCCCAAAGGTCACGCAAATTAGTGCAGAAGCAGAGCAGAAACAACTGAAAGACTGAGAGAACCGCAGCAACAACTTGAAACCTCAGAGAACCAGGCAGCAACCAGCAGCGAGCAACCAGCAACCAGCAACGAGAAAGTTTCCATGAATAGGATAACTGGCAGGCAAGTCGTGGATGCTCCTTCTCGATGCTGGCGCCCTGTAATCCAGGGTGGAAAAACTTGTAAAAGTAACTAGATAACGCAGCAACCAACAAACTAAGTAGTTGTCAAAGGGGTTGAGTGGGTGTGGCGGGGGACCCAGTGAAATCCCAAAGGATATTCCCAAAATGAGGCAATAGTTGGCAGCAACGGAATCAGAGTTTACTGACCCTGGTGGTGGGGGGCTCTGCTCCGGATACTGATACCTGGCTAACTCATTTTACTTGCTTGATTAGCTGCCCAAAAGGAAATCAAATAGTTGCAAAATTTATAGATTTTGTGAGGGCTTTCTGCAGCTTGGCATTCTGCCTCTAAATCTCTGAGACTTTCTTACATGTAGGCCACAAAAACCAATCAATTGCCAGAAGCAGTAATCAGTAACGTGTTTTTTTCCACCGACTAATTGGCGGAATATTAATAACTTTCTGGTGGAAACTTCGGGGCCAGATGTCACAAACATCCGAGCCAAACTGCACAGGGATTACGCCATAATAATTAATAAGCTAATTAATCCATAATAAAGTCGAATAATGAGCCAATATTTGAGCAAATATGGGGGACAGGCACAGGCACAGGAAGAGCGGCGTTGATGGAAATTACGATGTCAATGCCAGGGGAAAATGTCAGGGAAATGCCAGGGAAAACATACATACACACGCATGTGTGTGTGTGTGTGCCATCATTATGGTGCTCATCATCGTTTGCATGGCAAGTGCCTGCCATGGTTGCATGCCACAAAACGCTGCCGCTTCATTATCCTTATTACTCCTTTCGGTACAGTACTTCCTCCCATACTCATGTGTGTGTGTATCATCTTTCTGCCTTGCTCGCTCCGCTGGAGGGGTTATTGTTTCCATTTTGATTTATGTCTGGCATCATCCTTGGGGCTCCTCTTGGCCTCGTCCGGGTCTCATCCTCGTCCCCGTCCTCTGCTCTATGGTTCTCGTCTACTATTTTAACGTTGTTAACCAAATTGCATAAATTAAGTGCGTTCGTTTGCTTGAGTGGCTCCAGCTCTGGCTCTGCTTCTGGCCTCCGGCTCCATAGTTAGTCCTGGCTTCAGTTTTGACTTGGCTGCCAAGTCCCACCCGCACCCCCACCCGCACCCGCACCTCCGCCACCACGTCCTTGGTCCTGGAGCGGCTGCATTTGTGTTGCTAATGTGCGCACATTAGACGCACATGCTGCCAGCTTTTCTTCACTGAATCGAGCTTTCCTTTCTCCCATTTCTCCTTCTCCATATTTTTTTCCTAGCAAAATTCCATCAGAGTGGGCTGGAAATTATGCAAAGCAGTTGGAATATTTTTCATAATTGCCATGTAAATGCATTTTCTGGCTAGCTGCACTCACATAATCCTCTCGGCAGTAATAATGAAACATTTTCATTTCTTTGCACTTTGCTCTAGGACTTCGGCAAGGCCAAAATCCATTAAGGGTTACGTCTAAATTAATTGTTTGTACTTATATTAATTCGTTGATGTGTGAACTTTCGCGAAGAGCTTTAGTTTTTAATTGGAGAAAGAAAAATATTATAATTTAAATACTAATAAAAGTTCAGCAATCTCTGCAGAAGGAGTCCAAGAATAATATTTTTAAAAAATATTTAATTCATTTGGGAAAAATCTAATAAATCAGAAAATAATAAACAGAGATCTGAGAAATATTTACGATAAAAAAGGAAATAACCTACTTAATGCCACCGCCAAACACAAATAAAGCCTCTGCCTCGAAATGTTCTCTAAAATGTTTTTACTTCAAACTGCCAGTGCTGCGTGACTGCATTTATACATAATTTCCCCGCATTTAATAGAGCGAATTGCACTTATTCCAATTGCAGCAACGTTTTTATTCAGATAAATATTTGCTCTCCAATGAATTATAGAAAATTGAGCCAATTTCTATAATTATATTTGGCCATTGACAAGCTCCGGCTATAAAAAGAATGGGAACTGGCATATCCAAAGCCAGAGTTGGTTCTGTAGCTGGGAGCAATGAAATTGTTTTGGCTGAGTCTGTTGTTCGTGGGCCTGTGGCGTCCAAGTCGGAGTCAAGAGGAGAATGAGTTGAATGTGCGGCGGATAATGAGGGAACTGGAAGTAATACCAGAGATACTGGATGAGGCACCAAAGGATCTACTCAGGGTGAGTTCAAGCCACAGGAATAATTCCTAGAATGTTTCGTTAAGCAACCAAATTGCAGGCAAAATACGACAACACCATTGACATTGAGGAGGGCAAGACCTACACACCCAAAGAGCTGAAATTCCAGCCGAAACTCGACTGGAATGCGGATCCTGCATCCTTCTACAGCGTCATTATGATATGTCCCGATGCACCCAATCGAGAGAATCCCATGTACCGCTCCTGGCTGCATTGGCTAGTGGTGAATGTGCCCGGCATGGATGTGATGAAGGGTCAACCCATATCCGACTACTTTGGGCCTCTGCCTCCCCGGGACAGCGGCTTGCAGCGGTACCTCATCCTCGTCTATCAGCAGTCGGATAGAATGGACTTTGACGAGAAGCGAATGGAGCTGAGCAACGCCGATGGGCACAGCAATTTCGATGTGGCAAAGTTCACACAGAAATATGAGATGGGTTCGCCAGTGGCTGGGAATATCTTCCAATCGAAGTGGGATGAATATGTCCCCGAGCTGATGAAGATGCTCTACGGCGTCTCTGATTGAGGAGAGATGGCAGAGAATTCCATTTCCATTTAATATTTCTGCTATAATTATTCGTTGTATTATATTAATTACTTCATAAATGAATTTAGTTAGCTGAGAGCATTCCCAAATCCAATGTTGGTTTCCATTCTCCCTTTCTGTGAGTATCTTTCTCTGCATTCACTATTTTCTTTGTGGTATTTATACGATTATAAGCCACTGCACATCCGTAATCATTTCGGCAACGTTAATCCCATTATTTTGGGTCTTTGCAATTGGCTTCACTTGTGCCCCGTATATGGCATTTTAATGGAGTTACTGCTAAATCGGAGCGAAATCTTTCAGCTTCTTATTGTCTCGCAGAGGCCACTAAATATGTCAAAATAAAGGCAAATTTATACACAAACTGATAAACAAAAACAACAACAACAAATGCCAGAAAAGGAAAAACCAACAAAAAAAGAGGAGAAGCGGAAAAAAACAGAAAGAAGTCGGGTGGGAAATGAGATAGGAAAAAGTCTTTTGCCCAGAGGGGTGCCAAGGCAAAGCTGCAACAGTTCTTATCTTGACACTGTCATCTATTCGACTCAAAGTGGGGAAATTGGCCTGACACCGGTACGCCAGGAGAGTCGTCTGTGGAACCCCTACCCATTCCAATCCCATTCCCATACCGTTCCGTTTCGCCCAATCTTCATCTCCGTTTCCATCTTGGGCCGCTGCCTTGGCACGCCTATCACTGGAATTGAATCAAATTACCTTGTAATCTTAACCTTAAGGTTATTTGCCATTGGCCGCAAAAAGCGCTTTGTGCTCGACTGCGTTTAGTTACTATTTGAGTGGAATCGGAGCTGCGAGAAGAAGAGTGAGGCCCAGCCCCATGGCAACTCCATCCATGCCCCCCCACCACCCCCATGAAAGTTGCACCTTTCACACTTGTTTCGGTGGGGGGGAGTAGTGGGGTCTATATAAATGGAAATCTAACATTACGTCCTATCATGATTGCAAAGTTTAAGTGAGTTTTGTGCCAAGTGCAAAGCTGCTTGAGGTTCTCCACTTCCACTCTCCAGCCATCCACTGCTGTTGTTGTTGTTGTTGTCTGGGGGGGCTCTGGGGGGATTTGGAAAATGTTGCAAGTCAATCAAAGAGTGGGCGGGCTTTGGGATTGTGGTAGGGGTAGGTGGCAGTATAGCCATTGCAGTTAGCATTGAGCCCTTGGCAGGTGGGGCAGGTGGAACAGTTCAGCAATCAGTCAGGGGGTATCGCTGCTCGATAAAGTATATCGGATTGAGTTGCCAGCGAATCAATGACAGAAAAGAGAGAACTACCCAGGGAGCGAAGAAAGTGGGGATAAAAGTTGGAGGAACAATATAATCGGATCAACTTTGATTTAATAATTTAACCAGCATGCAGTAATTTATTTAATGACAGCCAGTATATATTTTCAAATATGCAAATATGTCGGACTAAAAGCTGTGGCAATAAATTTCCACAATGCCCTTAGGATTGTTTCATTTAACCCACAAAACTTCTTGAAGTCACCAGAAAGCAGAGAATGCTTCGGAAGAGAAGTTTCATTCGTACGTTCCCACATCAAATAATCCTCACCTGAACAGAGCCGAATATCTGTATGAAAAACTTTGATTTATCAATTCCGCAAGAACGAACAATATTATCACCATAGAACACTTAATTCTGAGATGTGAATGTTATTCGCAAATGAAATCAACATCACATGAAAACAATACGAAACCTTTCACAACACAGTTAGGAGCCCACCTTACACCAGATTAAGATTTAAAAATCAAATTAAATTTGAAATAAAAATAAAAAAACAAACAAACATCATATGTAACCATTAATTAGAATGTCATATTAAAAGATTAATTTAGCTCTAAGTTTAATACAAAAGTAATGTGACACCTAGTGACCAGTGCTCCATTTATAATTATAATATAATTATAATAATAATATAATATAATATAATAATATAATATATATAATTATAATATAATTATAATAATGATTATGAGCCCCTTGTAGCATTAGCAAATACAATAAAAAAAAAAAACAATACACTGCTATGCATTTATTAATCGAGTCGATAGTTTTTTATATTTATTTGTTACAGTAAAATTTATGATATTTATTTTTAAAAAGCCCGTTCCACATATCCCAAAATCAATATACGAAAAACTGAATTCTCTTCATCATTATCATTGCTTGCTGAACCCAAAGCGAACTCCTTCCATTCCCACGCATCATCATCCAGAGCTAAGCTCTAATTTCACGCTCGTCTGGTCACACTATTATAAGAAAGTCCACCGCTTTTTCAGCCATTTCAGCTGCCAACTAGCGTATGAGTAATCTGCCCCAGCAATGTCACAAATCCCACAGCTGCCTCGAGTTCTTGAAACCATTTTCTCCCATCCACGCTGCACGGCATTTTTTTCTGTGCGGACCAACTTTTCCTCTTATTATTTATCCCATGTGACAAATTTGGTGCAGCAGATTTTTGCCTCGCATTATAAATTATGCGTTGCTGTTGGGGAAAAAAACGAGAATTAAATTAAAAGAAAACGAGTAAAGACAAGAGGAGAACCAGGAAAAATCGAAAATAATATTCTGCTGGTGTAGGATACCCTTTGAATACCCTCGCTGATCTGTAGAGGAGAACCAAGAAAAAGCGAACAGAATATTCTTCTGGTGTAGGATACCTTTTGGATACCCTCGCTGATCTGTGGTTTAACTGCACACCTGGACAATCTTTTCTTAGATTTTATATCGATAGAGAAATGGGAAACAGCCTATGATCTTTTAGGGATACATTTCTTTAGAAGATAACCCACTTCTGGTAATCAAAAATCATAATAACTCCTCAGCAAGGGTACCTCAGCAAGGGTAGAACGACAGTGGGTGAGAGTGAAAAGTTTTCCATCTTTTGCTGGTGTACAAGTTTTTCGCTAACGTTTTAATTTAATAATCGGCGTCTGGAGTCGTTAGGTTGTGGGGCAAAAGTTGTCTGAATAGTTTTGGAATCTGACATTATCCTTAATGGCTCAAGGGTGGCTGGGGGGGCATAGCTAAAAGTAATTTTAATTGGAGCATCGAATGCCTGAATAAATCATTTAATGAATAAACAAGCCCACACACACACTTGTTGGTCATGCATTATTTATGCGGCAAATCAATAACTGTGACACTTTGCCTTGCATCATACCGAATTGAATAGCATTTCGAATGCATGACTATGACTGCCACTGCCAGTGCCACACGCACTGACTGCCAGAGGATGATGAGTTGGAGCACCTAACCAACTCCCAGTGGAGAGTGCATCAGGAGCAGGCGCTGTTACAGGAGCTGGAGTTGGATCCTGCTGCCGGACTGTGGCTCCTGTCACACAGTTAAAATGTGATAAATTGTATTACGTGACGAGAGAGAGAGAGAGAGAGTGAAGAGGCACTCTGACACACAAAATGCAAACGTAAACTATATTGGAGATTAGAGATGGGAGTTGCAGGTGATAGATTCACGATGGTAGGAAGATTTTCTGAAGTGGTTATAGATTCGTAGAGCGAAGGATCCAAAAGACAAACTTTAAAAAAATATTATAAATAATTAAATTAAATAAATAAATAGATTAAATAATTAATTAAAATTAATGAAGTGAGAAAACATGAACAATATCCCAAAATTTACCCACTGACAATATGTGACAAAGTCAACGTGATTATCTCATCTCTAGTTTAGTGTGGCCTCCGCATAGAAATGTTTTGAATGGACAGGCAAGAAATCCATTTTGTGTGGCACCAAATCAAAATGTACCAGCCAGAAACAGACGCACACTCTCCAGCACACACACTCCACACTCCACTCTCCAGCATATGTATATGTATGTACGTACTCCATAGAGTCGTACAGGCACAGAGGGAAACACATCTATAAACTGTAAGCATCGAGTTGAAAGTTGCATGTTGCAGTTGCAGTTGCACATTGAATTCCAAAACTGACACCAGCAGACATTTAGTACGCATCGCATATTGAAATTGTAATTTGATTTCTGCCTTTTGCCACCAAGCTGTCCAGCTGTCCAACTGTCTATCCGGCTATCTCTCTCACACTCTATCTCTCTCTCCACTTCTTCTGTCGTTCTGCCTGTCCCCTTTGGGGGAGTACTCGCATTTCTATCGCCCTTTGGCTGCATGCCAGAAAGGTTCTTGCCCCTGAGCCCCAACAATTGCGTAGTTTGCAAATGAATAAACGCATTTACAGCTTAAAGACCCAATTTGGGTCATTGTGTGGTTCCTAACCGAAATAAGGGTGGGTTTGCCAGCTGGTTGTGATTATGGAAATGTTAAGAATTCGAATCTGTCACCTTTTAAATATGCACATGCAGACATGTTCTGAATTTTGCATATTTTTGCAATTACGATCGTTCGAATCTCGTGAAAAACTAAGAAGAAAAAAATCAAGAACTACACGAAGCAAAACACAGACAATAAATTACTTAGCAATGCCAAAAACTAGATTAATCTGCACGTAAAATTCTAGCTGGGAGTGGCGTCAATTGGAAATATTTTTGGTTCTGAAATTGGTCCCAATTTGAATTAAAACCGTGCTTAAGCGTGAATAAATACTTGGGAATTATAGGAGTGCTCTGGGACTGTGGAACTTGCACTTGGGAGCTATAGTGAATTAAATAAGAGATTCAGGCAGGCTCCGGCTAATAATTATTAATTATTATTATAAGTATAATAATTATAATTTATGAAAAGTAGGATCTTCCACTCGAATTATATTACCTCTTTCTGCTCTTTTTTTTAACAGGAACGAAAATTAATTTCACTCCCATAGATCCCTTCCGAAATAGGATTACAGAATATGCTTAAAGCAGCGCCAATGATTTTCTCCGACAAGGAGACACCTGAGGCTCCGCTCAAACCCCGCTCGTGGAGCCTCCTTCAGCTGCAGTGCGCCTGCCGAATGCATTTTGTGTGCAGACAAAGCCTCTTGGGGCACTTAAATCATTATTTAATTTGAATTTAAAATGCAGTCAAGAATTTTCCACCGGTGCTGTTGTCGAGGCTCTTTTTATTCTGCTCCGAAACAAAGCGCGCACAAATAAATAAAATAA